AATTAATAATTATATAAATATTAATATCTCAAATATGACCAATTAAACATGTAAGTACCAGACATATCTCCAGCTCCTCTGCCGATTGCTTTACCCGCTGGAACAAGAACCGCTTTGCTGATCTTGCCTTTATTGCGGTTAGATTTGTTTTCTTCATTCATCCACTCTTTAACACCAAATTCATCATCATTAGCTTCGTTAACAAGTTCTACACTTTCTACAATGTCCCTTCGTATTTCAATCTTCTTTGAGCGAGGTACTTCCCCTTTGTTTATAGCACCTTTATAACCAGGTAAAAATACCTGAAATGAAAATTGAGGAGTTGCCCATAATGGTGGAGGTAAAGAAAATTTTGAACTAGTATGCGTTGCAATTTCAGCATTTGCAAGCCATTTTTTTCCATCTCGTTTAGCCGAGCTTTCACTTTCAGCGCATTTCTTTGGAGCCTCAATGATATTTTTCACTTCGGCCCAAGAATTATTACGAATTAGTTGCCACTCGGCAATATCTTCATAATTGGATACCATGTCTAAAGTTCCTAATTCTTTCTTAACAGCACCAGCAATTCCCATACCTATACCCACAACACCTGCAGCGCCACCTACCAACGCTCTACCAACATTTGCGACAGTAGCAGCACTTCCTGATAATTGAGTACCAGCGAGAGTAATTAAGTTATTATTATTTATTTCATCTTTTGCTCCTTGACTAGGAGTTTCTTCAACAACTGTTTTCTCCATCCACAAACGATGTAATGTTAATATACCAGCGGGGTTAAAACTCAACAAATCTTGATATCCAATATCATCTAATTTGTTATCTCGAGTTTCAACCCCAAGATAATTAGAGTGAGAATTGTTTATAGAATTTTGTGACCACGATTGAGTTCTCCTACGACCTGATCTTCCTGTAGAAGTACCATTTGACTTAACTCCTTCTGTTGCAACATTTGGAGATGATCTCCTTTTAGCTTGTCTTTTAGCATGTAAGTTAGCTACTAACAAACCATTATTCGCGTTTAATTCCGATTTAGAATTATTATACATAGAAGGTAAGAATTTAATACACATTCCTGGAGGTTTTCTCAAGTAATGTGTAGGGAATGTGCTATAATGAAATGTAGGATATGGTTGTCCATTATATTGTGAATGAAAACTATTCAGATTTCCATTATATTGACTTTGACGACGTGACTGATCAATTGGAGGAACATTAGCATCAGTAGATGATAATGAATAATGTTCATGAGGTTTATTAGGATACATGTTTGAGCCTTGTGAAGCAAAATTAACGTCTGATGAATCTGATGGTAAAGGAGTCCGAGTCTTAATACGGACCACAGGTGATTGCGTAGTTGATTTATACTACAACAAATTTAAACTTAATTAATTTTCGTTACTACTATGTTAAAATAGAAAATTTACAACTTACTAATTCATCTACATTATTAACCCATCCTCTTATATGAGAAGGTACATGTGTAGGACCACCATGGGGGTTTATCGCAAACACATGAATGGTTCCTCGTCCACTAGCGACTGCACACCACCTGGAATCACCACTCCAACCCACACCTCCATCATTAACACTAGCATTAGTATATCCTCTAGATAGTTGGTATACATGCTTTAAATTTTTATTACTTCTGCGTTGGCGACGTTTACCAACAATTTCGAATATATGAAATTGATGACCTTGAACCGATGTTGAAAACAAAAAGGAGCCCGAAGGATTGAATGATAAATGTCCAACGGGATGTGTGTGTGGAGAAAAATGAGCAATAATACTAGGTTGCTTTTTTTGTACGCTACATGAAGTGTCCAAATCGCATATAATGACCTATTTAATGCAAAAAAAAAAGTCGGATTTTTAAATAAGATAACTTAAAACAGTATATTAATAACTAATATGATCGCTTACCGTTCCTATAGCACCATTTTCTTTATCATTTTCATAACCATTGATACTATTTAAGCCTGCCATGTTACCACTTTCACCATTTCCATTATTCATACCACCCTTTAAATTGTAATAATATCCATTAGATGGACTATCTTGTGGAGAGAATGAACCACGTGAAGCGGGACTAATTGAACCTGCATGATTTTTAATATTTATTGGCATTGTAGCAACCTGTGAATTCGGATTGGCAAAATATGCAGAAAAGGTTTGATATCCATAGTCGCCTTTATTTAGGAGTTAATAAAAATATGGTAAAAATTGATGCAATATGAAATGGTAAAAAGGAAATATAAAAAATTGAATATCAAAGCATACCTAAAAATTTTACACCATTAACAACTTCTTTTGCAACACCTTTGGCAACCTCTTGATATTTTCCTGTTGTTCCTAGAACGCCATCACTTTCATCCACCGCATAACCATCCATATTGACATCCGTTTCTAGAGGATAACTTGTTGTTGAATAAGCTAACAGCCGAGGTCCTAATGCGAATACTGGAGTTCGAGTAGAAGGATGTATCGCAACATCTTGTAATGGTGAAAGAAACAATGGAGCCAGTGTTAAAGGTGAGAGGATATGAAGTCTTGGTGGATTAGTGAGACTCTAAATATAAATAAGAAAATTCAGTAAATGAAATAATAGAAATTTTAGAGCTTCATATGTGAAATCACGTACCACAACGATGGCTCGTTCATTACAATTCACGCCAACAACGCTACCCTCATTTTCAAAGTCTAACGCCTTTACAATTTGATTGGTTTTTAAAGAAAAGAATTTTAACACACTTTTCGGTTTTGTGAACATGTCCTGATGGCCATTCTCTCTCTGCGGTATCGGTGTACAACTATAACAACATAATCATTTTAATTATTAACGACAATTAACGATAAATAACTTAAATCAATGAAATTTTCAGTCTTACGCTAAGCAGATCAGCGGACGAACATCCGCAAATTTATCACGAAGATTTTTAGATGAATTACGCGGATTACATATTGACTATATATATTTAAAAGCGGTGTGAATTAATAATATTGAAAATGGGGAAAAAAATTTTTATATGTTAAAATAAATAACCACCTTAATGCACGTGACCTGGCCAATATTTTCCTCATCTCTGATAGACATGAGCTCATGAATATTATCAATATCTGATACATTCCATATCTGAAATCCGTCGGGATAACCTAACAGTAGAACCGACTGGCTATCAAAAAGAAAAAGAAAAATGGTCAACGCAACATGACAAAACCACACGATAAAACATCAAATACACATATGTTTATATATTTATATTTATGTAAAATGTACTTTTTTTCGCAATTATGAGTATTGGAAGCAGAAGTTATAATTTCGTCGAATGCTGCGTATAAGATCAAATCTTTTTTTTTATTAAAAAGTCCATCAGGTATAGGAAACGATTGAGAATTCATATCGTTGGTTAATTGATGTGGCAAATAATCCGGATAATAATTTATAGGCGGTTGATAATCATTTGTGGAGTTTGTAGAAATTTTACGTAAAGAGGCAATGGAATTCGGAAAAGAATGCGCCACATAAGAAGACCAACCAGATATAACAGAAGAGATAGATTCCAAGGCCGAAGGGTCTCTATTAAATAATAATAAAGGCTATTAACATAAGTTTGCGATTTCGAAAATTTAAACGGTTTGTAACTAGTTACCTTAATAATTTTGGGTCAGCTTTGACTCCGTTGACGTTAGTGAGCTGAGGAAGAGAAGACATTCTCGAGCAGATGATTATACACGATAGTGGAATAAAAATGAAAAGAAATGAAAAGAAAATGCAAAAGAAAAGCACGAAAAAGAATTTATATATATTAAAACCAGTTTATTTAGATTTTTTCTATTTTTTTTTAATATTTTAATAAGTATTATATTAAGATATATTAAGATATTAATAAATCAATAAAGAAACAAGAAATAAAAGAAAGACAGAAAGCAAGGATGGGTTATCTTGTAGAGTGTTACTTTCAATATTTTGATAAAGAAAACATGGAATATTTATACACAAGTTATAATATGCATATTTATACATATGATCCATGGTGAGTCATAGAATAATCTACCGTAAAAAACTGTAAACTGTAAAATGTTGATCGTGTAACCGAATTGCATTAAGATGATGACCCACAGTACACTATATCGATATCTGTCAAAGACATATCTAGTAGTTTTATTTGGTACCGATACGTAAAATTCGTACTATTCAATAATAATTAATAATATTTGGTAATTGTTTACTATGTGAAGATTAAATAATGATCTGGGGCTTTGTAGTTTCATACATCATGATCTGTCGCAAGCTGGTCGTTACGTACAGCACATACGTATGTGTTTAATTATAAATATTATAATAGTGCGCAGTAGTCGTCCAATGGTTCGTTATTCCGGTTGAAACCGTAGATAAATGCGCACATACATATGTTACGTACATAGCTTTTTTTGCATAATTTTTGTCTCCGAAAATCATCCGTTAGATCCGTTATTGAACTAACACCCGTCAAGTCTTTATTCTCCGCTGATAATTTTTAACTGCCGGGCAGATAATCATAATACAGTAATAGTAATATGACCATAATATTATATCATGCTCCGTTACACGCTAACGCAAATACTATTTACTTGATAAATTATTTACACACGTGAATTAATATGACTATCAGAAATGGTAATATGTATCGGCTACGTATAAATATATATATATATACTATATATATACTGTATATATAATGGCCAAGGTTGGTAAATGACCTCAATGACTTTAGAAATGACCTGATCAAATCACGTGATAATTTTAATATTAAGTTTCATCTACCAGGTTATTTGAAATTATTTGGAAAAAATGGCAAATGACCCATCCCTGATAATAACTATATAATACTGCTCACTTTCCCTAAACACAATATTTCGAGAAGGCAAAGATAGTATATAATATAATTAGCTATTGGTAAAGAAGCGTACAAATTCAACACATCTTTAGGTGCACCTCTAGGACGAGATGATTTTTAAATCCTTTATCGCACAAAATTTCCGTATTTCCCATTGTTATTATGTTCAAATGGCCATGTAATATTGTAGATGGGCCAAATCTCGACTTTCAAATCTGATTCTTTAATACCTTTCAGAATGTTTTTAACATTATCTCCAATCGTCCCATATTGATCTATAAACTCTTTAACACGTCCTTTATCGCCATCACCTTGCATCATCAAAATTTCTTTTGTAAGGTTTGCGATGGATAGTTGAATGGAATCAAAATCTACCCGGAATTTGTTTTCATAATCGTCAAATATGAATCCACCTTGAGAAAGGATATAGTTTAACTGAATGACACGACCAAGAGCATGAGCCTATATATTAAATCTTTGGTTGGTTTTTTTCTACGATGTTTGGATTAATGAAAAATGTGAATAGGAAAAAAAAAAAACAAGCGAACCTCTTTGTGACCAAATACGAGAGATTTGGCAGTTTTAGCGAGATAAGTTACATATAATTGTTCCAAAAGTGGTTGTGTTATGAGACCTTTATTCATAAGATATGCTGCAGCGAATATACTTACGAGATCTATAACATAATGATATGGCACGGTAAACATCAGGAAATGATGTTTAATGTAATGATTCTAATACTGTATTACCAGCTTTAGCTTCTTCAATAGCAGAATGATATTCTTGTAATCTATCACGAACGGGAACAAAGTTTGACCCTACAATGTAATGTGGACCGTTTGAATGTCCTACCTCATGTAAGAGTACATGGGTCTTTTTTTTAAAAAAAATATGGTGCAATAAAATAATTAATAATTAAGAAATAAATATATCTATCGGAAAAGATACTTGCAAAATATGCATCGAAAGAGAGATGTTGACGTTGATCTTCAGAGATAATGAAGTTTCTACTCGATTCTATTAAACTTTCGTATTTTGCTTTTAAAAAAAAAACATATATATAATATATTAATGTGTAAACGTAGAATAGAATTTGTAGATTATTGTTGATATATACCACGTTGAACGTTTTTGATAAGTACTAATTTTGAACCAATTTTCTTGACTTGTTCCTACATATTGCACTTAATTAGCGTTAGCGAAAAAATGCGTCAAAGATAAATTAATTTAGAAGTATACATTATTGGGCAAATTGTAAGCAGCAGCAACTGGTGCTATGATGAAAAAAGATTGATTATTAAATTTTTATCTCATCCACTCAAAGTTTCTAATGATAAGTAATAATAGTTACCGCCAATGCCAGCAGAATATAGCTCATTAACCACGATAATCGTTGGAGGCTTGAGATCTTTATTCTTATATTCATCAGGCACTGGCAGACTATCTTCAATATCTTGTAATTGTGCAGCGAACCCTTGAACTAGTGCCGAAGATTCAAAATCTCGTGCGTGGACAAATAATTCGAAAGAACTTTTATAAGAGAACAATTCATCATCATAAACTTCATAAGGACCAACCGTTACTATATTTTTTAAGGATTTACAAAACATCACACCAAATAGTCTGAAAATAACAAACTACTGTTGAACTTCCCAAAATCGATCCTCTCAAACCTGATAACCTGTCAAATCTGATAAAAAATTAGTCTACCAAGTCTGTTTTCGTTATATAAATCTAATAATTTAAGTTTATAATGCTTTCAAATCCGATAACCTCTCAAAACTGATACAAAATCTATCCACCATGCATACCGGTTTGGGGAGGTTCAACAGTATTTCCTAACGCTATATATAGTTTTACCTTCAAGTCGACAATCCTTGCTAATATTTAGCCAAGCAATCTCACTTTCAAAATATTGATTCGACAAAAATGCATCTCCTCTTAACCATAAAAATTTTCCGAGAGACACATCATCGACCAAATCTGCCGTCTCTTTTAAAAGCTTACTCAAAGGCACCAGAAATTCCTTGTATTCTTCCGAATAGGGTCTCAAAAACAACTGACCGTTCTCATTTCTTCTTATAACATGATAAAACCCTTTAGCCGCCTTTTGTTCATCATCAGAAAGTTTTGATACCCAATCATTAAATTCACTCTTGGTCATATCTTCTGGATAAAAATTAGCGCCTTTGGGTTTTGGAAAACCGCCAGGAATAAATGCGGTATTATTGTCAGTTTTGTCCCATGGACCTTTCATAACGTTAAAGAGTTGAATTTCTTGTGAGTATTGATTCGAATTTTCACTAAGTTGAGCTAAAAGAAATTCATTATTCTTCCACTTTTGGCGAAGATAGATTCTATTTTATATATAGTTATTATTGTTTGAATAAATCGCCAAGACTTGGGGTTTTAAGCTTATAATATACCAAACTCAATTATACAGATTTACCAAAGATTGAGTCTGGTAAATTATAGGTAGAAATAATCAAATTTCACGCCAACATTTTTACAATAATTGAAACCTGTTAACAATAGATCCAGCTTGTACAAATTTATGAAGTGCTTTGATCTCCCCTTGGTTAAAATTTGATCTAGAAAGATCAACTCCTAAAGTAACGTTAGCAAATCTCGAAATTCGTTTCGTAATGTCCATTTTTTCTTTATTCTTTTCATCATAATCTAAAGCTATCTATTATTGTACAAGAATTATTTTATAAATCGGTTTAGGTTATTAGATTTCAGTTCTCAAAACATAATACTAACCACATCATGACTACGCGGATGTAATAACACGACTAACCAACATATTAAAAACAAGTATTTGATTTTCATTATTGTAAAGGGTACAAATGGTCCTTGTGAAAAAATCAATTGAGTCGAATACTATTGAAATAATTCATATTTTAAATTAAAAATTAGACTGTAAGAGGATCTAATGATGCTTTACATACGTCAGTTATTCTCGTTTTTATAACGCAATTGAAAATAATGTAATAAAAGTTGCGTAATTTTTTTATGGTTTCATATGATATAATTTTCTTTTTTAAAAAAAATACATAACTGCTAACAAGTTTTATTGATTCCCTCTAATATTATATGACAAGTTTTATGTATATATGTGTCTTCATCGGATAAATTTATATAACAACGCGTTACTACCCTCTACATTCTTGTAATTATCCTTCATTTATCAGTATGTCACAGTTCTAGTTTTGCTTTTTGTTTAATTCTCTTCTATAATCTGTTTTAAAAGATTAGCGTTCTTGAACTCAGATTCGAGCTCGAAAATTCATCGATTAATGAATCAACCTCAAATTGCATGTTTTTAAATTGTACTATAATAAAGTTTCAGCCACGGGCTGTTATCAACAAGTATTAAAAAAAAGTGATTTTATTCTAACTATTTTAACATAATATAACATCGTATTACAGTCAGACTTCCCTAAGTGCATGTCGTCGGGACCCATTTAGGAGGGTTGCATTTAGAGAACACTAATACTGTAATAAGATCATAATGTGATTATTGTCACGTGATAAGTATGGCTTTAGTGGCGCAAAACAATCATTTTTGATACACCTGCACCTACTTTTTTGTAAAATAAAATTTTAAAAACTTTGAGCGAAGATAACTCGACAACTACCTGCTTAAATCTGATAAAACTTTATATTTGAATTCT